GGAAATACATAAATTAAAAAGTCATTTACAACTCCAGTGAAGACTCATGTTGACAATTAAAATTGAAAAATATTTTTTGACTATTTTTCCACTCAACAATTGATATCGCTCCGATTATTTTCCCAGCGATATCCGAGCATACGAAAATATCGGGATGGAGTAAATGAAAACATTTATTCGTGGAATGTTTTCGCATGAATATATTAATGTTTTGAGACCTTGAGGGATTGTTTACAGTAGTTGGTACATTTCCAATGATTATTTTCACTTCTGAATGGAGAAAATTTTTATTCGAAATTTTCATCATTGGCATGTCAAGAGGTCATAAACGTCAGAATTTAATCACCTCGAGAGTTTTCAAGATTTATCCTCCCACTTCTCGCAATACACTCAATTGTTGTTCAATGGGACAACCTTGATTATCAAATTATCTCCTTAATTAGTGACTCCAAGAAAAATTATCAAGAGATCATGTGACATCGAGATAAATGCGTAATTAATACTTCAGCTGTGGATTTAAAAAATTTTCTGTAATTATAATGCTGTACTGATTGCCACTGGAAAAACATCAATTTGCATATTCATATGAACCAACAAATATGAAATGTAATACGCCTCCATTCCCCAGATATTCAAATGACGAATTATTTTTCTCAATTCAATTATTTTCCACAGCTGCGAGTTTATAGTGACGCAAAAATGGCAGGTCGCATGCTTTAATTCGCAACCAATTTATCGTGCAATGTTTTATTAAAAAGAAGAATAATTCCTCCGCTCGAACCATTCGAGAATTAATAATAATTAATAATTTTACATCATGAAATACTTCTAGCATTTAATATTCAATCCGTCTCAAAAATTTACAACGACCTCGATGCCTCAAGAATCATCAAGCGAATCCCACTCAACATTAAATTATTCAATTTACAAATATTTAAATTATTCAAACCAACTGACAATTCTCTATTCTTGTATTCAATTGAAAAACCCATAGAATCATTTATTCACCTGGAGAAAATATTCCGACTCCACTGTAATCAAGTTTCAGTGACACTTCGTGTGTTCAGTCATTAAAACTGTTTACCCTTGTAGTAAACGAAAATATTGTCGATCAAATCCTCGAAGTCTCTCAAGAAACCTCAGAACTCATTAAAATCACGAGCTGAAAAGCAAAGACTCGAAAATTGGATGAATCCGATATAACTTGCACACTAATCAACAACGAATATTCAGAGTATTATCCAAGTCTTGAATTGAGTTAATAAATTGTGGAAAGTCTGTGGAATAAATTGCGATAATATTTCAATTGGTTTTCGCCTTTTCCAGTAATCAAAATTCACTCATGTCTGTTACCTATAAATTTATCAACAATTCAATCACAATGTCATTAACGTTATCGATGACATTAATGACATTAATGACATTAATGTCATTAATGTCATTAATGACATTAATATCATTAATGTCATTAGGATGATTTTACTTTATTATCACAAATGAAATTCCTCTGAAATAAAAAAATGTAGTGACGTGATTGAAATTTTAAAAAATTCCCATTAAATAAGGAATTATGATAAAATTCAATAAATTAGCAGATGAACTGATCGAAATGAAAAACTATCAATATTTTTCCACGAAATTTCTCTTGTAACTTTCCAAGAATTTATAACTCAAGATTTAGACAATTCCTGGATAAAGGACTAGAGAGGTTTATTTTATTCCTCGAAGTTCAGAAGACATCTTTGTCCGATGACTGTAGAATTACGTCATGGTTGGAGGTAGCCTCGAAGCATTCGTATTGGATTCGACGGTTGTTACCTGTCCAACGTGACCTTTCCGGGCTAACGCAATTCCCGTTTAAACCCTAGGCTTTTATCGAACCAATGTTGAATAACACACGCCAGTGAATACAATTATTTGCACTAGCACCAAGTGCCCTAGAGAGAAAAGCCCCAAAAGTGTTCCAATGTGTCTTCCATGATTAAGACTGATTGAGACTGAAAGCAGTTCGTGTAAAAAATTAAAAGAAAAAAAAATAATACAACAGAAAAAGGAATAAAAATGTATGTGATGGAGTCAGGTGGTCATCGAGTTGCTCCAGTGGCCAATCACGTAAAAAAAGTTGATTACAAATCGACTAATGAGGGTGGTAATGAGCGTGGAAATGGCGGTGGCACCCATATTGCTGCAACTGTTAAAAATACAGTGAGAAGATTGTTACGGAGGACAAAGAGCCATCGGGACACACCGTCTGTTTATCCAGCATCAATAACGTCCACCAGTACTCATACAACCACGACAACTACCACGACAATACCATCAATTAACGGGGATAAAGTTAAAACAATTAACACGAGGACAGCAGTTAATCCGAGTAATGCCACTGTGAGAAGATCACAGCCACCGCCAGCACCGTCAGCCCAATATTCAACTGTTCGGGGAAACACTTGTGCTAGGAGAAAATATAATAAAACACCGCAGGTAAGGCACTTTGTTCAGTTCTGGAGATGATTGTTAGTCACATTCGGTCGATGAATCATATCTAGTCTCGTTTTACACAGGATTTCCTCCGGTGATGAATATATTGTAAATAATTATGATCTAAATATTTCAATTCATTAATTAATTGAGAGAAATATCTGGAATTGGCTGATGATAATTATTTATTATATTTATTCTTTTATTCCATCAATGAATTGCGAGAAATGTCTGGAATTTACTGACCATAATTATTTATTATATTTATTCTTTCTTATTAAGTGATTAAATTGAAATTATATGGTTTTTTCGCCATTTTAATTCTCAGAATGGCGGTCGGTCCTTCTGAGACTAATCAAACGAAAATGAAGGGCTCTTTGGGTATTATTTGGTTTTTTTTTTATAAAAAGAGGGAATTGGAATCTCTTTATGTCGGATTTCCGTTGCCCTCGGAAATTAGTCACCAGCGAGAATTATCTAGTGACATACGCATATTCTGATGATATTTCGATGGAAAAACGTTGATGAATAGTGAAATGCAGATGGTACTTTAGGTCGTGATTACATAGTCATTAAAAGTAAATGGGGAAAGAGTTTATCCTTGAGTTTTTATGATTATGCCATTGCCCATTAATTAGGAATGCAATATCTTTTTTTTTCTGTGCAAATTATTCATTCTTATTACTGATTTTTTTTTGAGTCCTCATTCAATTATTTTATTGATCATTTCTATTTTAATGCAAATACTCTCACAATTTCCATCCATTGAATTTTTTAAACAATTGAAGAGAAAAAATTCATAAGGAAATGGATATGGAAAATACATATATGTGCAGATGATTTAAAAATAGTAGATAATGTATTTAACACAAAGATTTGAATGGAAGAATGACTTCATAGTCTAATTTATATTTATAACAATTTTTAAATTATGGAATGACTTAGTGAGTCAAATTGGAACTCTTGACGCAGTCACATGATTATTGAAGACTTTTGCAATGACTTCTTTCACTTATTTTTTATCTGGTAATGGTCGAATGGAAGATTTGTTACGGAAATTCATAATTATTCTAGAGTGCCCGATGATGACCTCTAACTTCCGAGATGATGAAAGTAATTGAAACGGCTTCGAAGTCGTATAACTGATAATGATGAATGAGTTTCTGGTTTCAGTCATATTATGCCAGTGGCACTTTTCTGCAAATATTTATAATAAATATCATATTTTTTCATTACACTGACGGTCGAGGTGATTATCACCGCGTGATAAAATTTTTGATAATCCAATCTCGAAGTTCTGTCGTCTATTGAAATGATTTCTCTTTATCAATTAATGGCATTTCGTTTTTTAGTATTGATTCTGGGAGAGGGAAAAATTTCCAATTGATCGTTCACAGGAAATAATATTTTGACCCGGCGAATCAATAATTTTGTGTACGTTGAACGAAGTTATCATTTTGTCAATATTTTTTGTATCATTTATTGATGAATTTGAGTAATGAATATTACGCAACTTTGCAGTTACGTTACATCGGTTGGAAAATTACCGCTAAAAATAGAATATTGGAGAAATTGTGGAGGCAACAGGTCACGATGATTGTGACAAGATCGATAAGTGACCTCTTTATCAATTCCCAAATGACTTCGAAATTTACATTAACAGAGAATCATTTCGATTTGAGAAAACATAACGAAAATCACGATAAGTTATCGTCACTCAATTGTAATAATTAATTAATCAATATAAATATTTTTCAATCTTCAAAGTAACTGAGAAGATTAGTAATAATTTTTATTCGACATCGACTTCAATGTCGTATAATGGAAAATATTAAAAGTGTTATGAATTTTGTTGGAATTTTCCTGGAAAAAATTGGGATAGAGATTCCATTTGTTAACAGCGAAATGCGCAGGGAGGAAATATTATCGCACGATCCTCTCGGGTAATCTCGTAATATTAAGAAATTATCGGTAGCACGAGCGATTTCAAATTACACTGTCACGAGACCTTTATCGGAAACTTTATCAGCTATAGCTGAAGACCTCTAGACATTTCCATCAAAGATATCGCACTCGATCCGTAATTAACACTATCTTCTATTTACATTAGACAAAAAATTCTGAAATTTTCTGAAATTTTGTGAAATTTTCAAACTCGAATTTTTTCACAATAAATTCCCAATCCCAAAGAGGAATTTATGATTCATTGGAACTAATTCCTAACTATAATAATAATATAATAATAATAATTATTCTAAATTGCTCCCGGTAAAAGAAATAGTAATCCAAATATTTTTTTCCAAATTTTCGAGAAATTTCGGGAAAACTTTTCAGAAATTTTTTTTATGAAACAAAAAAAATCCAAAAACAATATTCGTAAAAATTTATAGAAAATTATTTTTAAAAAATTTCCTCAACCAATTTTTGAGAAATTTTTCAAAACATTTCCCAAAAATAAAATTGTTTAGCTTCCCGATTTTTTTTGTTTCAAAAAAAAAATTTTCAAAAATTTTGGAGTCATGTTTTGAAAATTTGGAAAAAACATTCCGATTACAATTTTTTTTTCACCCGGGGCTTAAAGAATTAACGTGAGCAATGAATAATAAAAACTTTGAAAATGGCGATAAAATTTTCTCTCAATTCTGATCGAGTAATTTCGATTAATTCTATTTTCCCGTCCATTCATCACTGATACGCGCTCCAACGCAATTTATTCCTTAGTAATTTCCACAGGATATAGATACTTCTTTGACCTAGAATGAAAACATGGAATATCATTACAATATTTTACTCCAACGGTTGACTTGTCTCAATTACCGATAGTCTCGCTGAACAAATGATATTTCATATGCCTGCGCGAACATTCAGAGACATACATTAAACGAATCGTTGCAGTCGATAACTTCCAATGGACATCTAAATCTCAATATCAATTGACTGTGTTCAATGCACATTGAAGCCACAAGTATTACAGAGTATCTCATTGCAAGAATTGCAATAGCGCTTTCAAACCGCAAATTGAGGCGATTTGACTATCAAATGATAAATAAATATCATTCGCATTTAGAAATAACGAGTTGGCCACTCCTAGCAGTCGAACACATGTCAATGTTACTTTATACTTTATCTGTGTTTTAACTTCCGAATGGATCCATTGCAATTCCGGTTTTCCATTTGCTGAACAAATTATTTTTTTATTTACTTTCGATTTCTATTTTTCCTCGAGTTTATACTAGATTATTATAGTAAAATTTTCAACTTTATGTTGAGCCCCTTCTCTTTCTTATTTTTTATACAATTTATAAACCTTTTTCTTCATTTATTGACATTTTTAGATTTTATCAAAGAGATTTTAAAGTGAAATCGGTTGAAGATGAAGGAAAAAATTATTATCAATATGATTATCATCTACATCGATTTTAGATAGAAAAAACGAGATGGAAAAGCCGGTAAATTACAATAAAATATTCCATCGGGTAACATGCAATGGTTAGACACAATCTTTACATTTTCACTGGCACTGACTCTCCCTTTCACTGTGGTATTGAGATACCTCAAGCTAATGTTGAGAATTGTTGGCAGCCTACAACATACAAAGGTCCATTAAGTATTGAAGACAAAGGACAGTACATAATTTCAAAGCGAACAGGTTACAACCACGACTTGCTATACATTTTACCGATACCTTCTCGTACAAGTGCAGGTTTCACTTTTTATTCCTCTCTTTCGATTTCTTCATAGTTTTCTTTTTTCCATTGCTCGGCAAAATTCAGTCAAGGTCTATTTAATTTTCCATTAGAGATCTCTTTGATTCTCTTTTATCGAGTTTTTTTATTCGCTGTAGGGATTCGAACAAAACCAGTCATTTTTAGTCATATCATCTATGACGAAGAGTTCTGGTTTCGCGTCGTTAAAAAAAAAACAAAGAACTTGTTGTGGTAATTCCAGGGTCATGGATTTCAACGCCATTATAAAATTATAAACAATCCCCCGAAACTCCAGAATTTTGCGAATATTATCCACTCAATAATAAAATCATATAAATTTTAAAAAATTGATTCACTGATAAAAAATTGATTCTCCAGAAACTCGAGGTGTTCACAATATTTAAATTCTTATGTCTCACCAGTTTCTTTGTCTATAAATAATCAATTATTGTTTAATACTTCATGATAAATGAACCGCAACTCCTTGAGACGGACTGGGTATGAGTGCCGCACCTTTTGTGACTTCGCCTACTCCTCAACGATAATATATTTCCGGTTTGTTTGATAATGAGAAAGAAGACATGCCTGACCAGTTAACATTGTTCAATTGTATGATTTGTTACAGTTTGCGTGGACAAGTATCCTTGAGGCATTCTTGACAACCGCTAGATATTGTAGTTGGTATTTATATTCGTTGCTATCAGAACATGATGAGTCTTTTCGGTTGATTCATCGTGCGACGATTTAGTGGATTGATTTTTATCGGGTATCAATATGATCGATATGATCAATGAGCTACTAGATCGATCGCAATGTACATAAGTGGAAAACCATTTGGTGACTCAATTCCATGGGCCAGAGAAAATATTTCTTAATTCATTGTCAAGTGCCAAACCACTGATAACAAATCCATCATTGCGGTTTTTTTTCATAAAACGTGTTCATCCAGATGGGGATTTCCCTATTTAGTCGCTTCCACTTTGCGTAATGACTGTCATTACCGTTTAACGAGTTTCCTGATTTTTTTTTCTTTTTTTTTCGATTTTTTTTATCTACCATTGTGCGTACTGGAGAAAGCTGACGAATGGTTCCATCTATTCATAAAACTTTTCACTCACTTTACGTCCGAATGAAAGTTTCGGTTTATTTAAATAATTCCATGAAAATTCTCGGAAATGAGGAAAGTTTCGGACAAAAGAAAACCGAATAACCACAAAAATGAGGCAAAATTAAACAATAACAATAATCGAAAGAAGTAAAAAAGTGAATGTAAATGTAATTGTAAAATTATAACAAATTGCAAAATTGGAATTTCGGTCTATCTAAAACATGAATTTTCATCAACTTTTCTCACTTTCATGAAAATTCTTATCTTACTGGACATTTAAAAATTAAATGCAGTCGATCAGGATGCCATGATGACTCATCGACGCGGGAACCTTGAATTTTTATGTTTGATTCGTTCGATTTCAACTATTTTCTGTTATCTCCAGCTCTTGGACAGGACACCTGTGTCCACGTCTTTGTTGTGCTGATCATAATTAGACTTGGGCTGAAACGCCACGCAACCATGTCTCTTTATTTTGAAAATCAAATTTTCAGATTAAAAATTCCCACCCAAAAATTGGGATTTTTGATTATTTTAATTATTATTATTTTAATTCATCCAATAAATTTTATAATTACGGATCACTGAAAAAAATTAACAATTTGTGGAATGAACAGTATCAATTATATAACTTTTTTATATATAATGTATATTATATAGACGTATAAATTATTATATATAATTATACAAGTATCTCACTGGAATTTTCAGATATAATTTGTTAAGAGTCTGAATACTCGTGCAAATAATTTTCAAGAATAGATAGAATGGTGTGTAGTTATCGTGTTGAACTATTTTAGTTTCACCACATGTTAAATTGTCGGGGAGTATCAACTGTGGGATAATACACCTGTCTGCTAAAGCACTTTATAAAGTTCATATATAGTCAATGATAAAAGCCTAAAAATAAAATAAAATCCACACATGCCATCGAGTTTATACCGATGAGATGACAGAAATTGCTATCTCGCCGTTTGAAGCTTCAGCTTTTTCCTTCAATGAATGGAAAATTCCACCGTACCAACGTATCGTGGGCCTTTTCGAGAATAATTCTCCATTGAAAATTCTTTTCGAGAATAATTCTCCATTGACGTTGCAATCCCAGTGATAATACAATTACAAAAAAAAAAATACTTGGTTAAATATGTAGAGCAGGAGTTGTGGGAATTGTTAGACAGTCGTCTTTCTTTTAATTATTCTCTTTGTTCTCAGGCTATAATGAGCCGAGGAACTAACGGCTCTTCCACGTGCGGATATGTTCTGAGTTCATATTCATGTCCAAGTTTTTTTATTTCATTTTTCCAAGCGCTTCGTTAGTTATTTACCAATTGAAAATTTCCCAGGGACTATTTAACTAAATTACTGCCTACCGAATTATTTGTTTAAAAATTGAATAATGATTGAATTGAAAAAATTGAACTAAAATTGATTTTTTAATTATGAAAAAATCAATTAGTCATCATCATCAAATAGTCCAAACACATTTGATTTATCACATTTTTATTGATTAATTTTTATAGATAGGCCCTCATTTTTTGGATCCACAAAAAACCGGAGAAATTTTTATAATCAAAGGCTACAATATTCATTTTTTTAAAATGAGACTGATATTTAGATTTGCAAAAATTCCCCATGATACAGCATATTTCAACACTTTTCCTACGAATTTAACAATTTATCATCATTATTTCGCCTTATCTGACAAAACACCTTACTTCAAACTTCCGAGAAATCCTGAATCGGTGGAAATCCATCGCTGTATTTCAATACCAAGCCCTCTATACAGAGTGGACAATTTATTTTGATAACATCTGTCTGCGGATTTCTGTAGTTATTTTAATTCAAAGAGGATCGATGTGTTTCGATCAGAATCGATAAGACGCGAATCACCCAATGGAAAATTTTCCCCGCGTTCTATGTTACTGTTATTTATCTATCTATATGTCCTATTTTCTCACAAATATTTTTCATTAAAATGGATTGTATCAACATTCAAGTGACAACTTGAGACATTCCATATCCGAATAATTGTAAGAACAGTCAGATATTTCCGAATCTTTCGTAATTAAAAACCGAATTGACGGGCCGAAACGTAAAAAGAATTTTAATAATAATTTATTGATCTATTCATAGATCAATAAATAAATTAAACTTTTGACATTATATATATATATTATATTATATTATATTATATTATATTATATTATAATAATGATAACAACCATAACAATATAATAATAATATAGTAATAATAATATTATATGTTAATATAGTGTATATTTAATATTTTATTATTATACATGGGTTTTAGAAACTATGATGGTGAATATTAATTTTCTTGCGGTTAGTACATATATACTGAGAAGAATTTTTAGTACGAGGGGCAGGTGCAACGGCCGTATTCCGAAGTCAAGAAAAACCCAATGAAAACCGATCTCTAACCGACATTACCGCCACCTGACGGTTATTCCCCTCGATTTCTCGTGTTGTCCCACTCATCCACCGCGTCGATTCACATATCTCGACTTTACACTCGACTCGTCCAACGTCTTGTTGACCCACACGACTCAAACGTGAAAAAAAAAGCCCTGCCTACCCCAAAACCACTACAAATCAGTATCCAAGTCAATCCAAGTGTCATCGACTCCCCCACGTCCCTCAACACATCTCAATTTTCCCATTTTCCCATTTCCTCGTTTCCCCATTTCACCTGATCGATACCTCAATCACAAGTGTTTTACCCAGAAGAAAATTCAACCGGTTATCACGTGGGTGAATCGGGCTTTTACCAATTATCCAATTGCATAACAACGAAAAATGTACAAACGGAAGCGAAAGAATTTTCACACAAGTGCACGCATTGAAATCACATGGAGGACATGACAATTCACTAATTAATTACTTTTATCGATTATTTAATTGTCAGTCGAGAGTTTTTTTTTTCGTTTCGATCGTAGACGGAGTGAAATGTTTCGAGTGTTTCTGCTCCAGGTGTTGTGCTCCATTTTTACACCAGGGAATTTATAAATAAATAAAAGAGGAGCTTGTGAAGACCCGTGACCGGTCACTCTTCCGTGAAGCATCCGTTCTTCCTTCTCCCACTAATGGTATCCTTGGAGTTGACAGTAGGGGCAAGCGGCATAGGTCATTAAATCCCCCAAAAAAAGAAAAAAAAAATAAAATGATGTTAAATATCTCTGGCTTGGTGTCAGTTTAGATCCCACGTCACTCGTTGATCCCTCGAGCCCATCGATTCTCGTACACAGTTGTCATAATCAATTCGATTCCTTTGACAATTTATTTCTTCTTTTCCTCAGCGTCCTCAACTTTCATTTTTTAATCCACACACGGGAGGAAGAAGAAGCGTGGGCTGTTGGAGCGAGTTTTGTCCCGACGTATTGGGAATTGTAAAACACACTTCTTGTCCTGGGAGGTTAGAGACTTTCTAAGCGGTGGTATGACGTGCCAGTGAGTTGTGAGTGTCTTAAAACAACGGTATCACGGTTAATTCTTCATTACATTTGGAATATTTGAGTGATTATTTAAAGGCAAATGGGAGGAAAGACACAACGACTGAAGAGAAAATTTTTGCATAATTATCCACAATTATCCATAATTCTCCATCATTTTCCATAATTGTCCCTGAACCAGTATGATTGGATAAATGATTGAACTCCTGGAGCAGCGAAGTGACATCAAGGTTATATTTGCAATAATAATTGATGTGTTAAATGGAAAGTACACAGTGAAGTGATGAATTATCATAAACTGGTTCACGATCCTTCGGACACCATAAATCTCCGTTTCATTTGGAAATTTCAGTTTCAATCGTGAGTCATATACCAACGAGTTTTTCTCAGATGCAACACCGTGAATCCTCGATAGTGAGTCACACGTTGTACATCGCCTCTTCACACATCTCTTCCGTCTACTTAAGTCGCCTCTCGCTTTACTGCACTTTACCTCAATATATATCCCTCTCACTTTGTACTGCTCGTTTCGTTCAACAAACTGAGACTGACTGTCTCGAATTTCTACCTCTGCTCGCAATAGATCACTACAGCGTGACCGGATGTTCAGGGAGGTGTGGTTTGCTTGTTAAAAGAAAGATTAAAAAATAAAACAATTTGTTGTATATCATATGGGCAGGGAATATTGAGCACTTGAGACGTCAACAACAATAGGAATATCTGCAAACTAGATTATATCGAGATTTTAATTTTTCACTCGAGTAGGGGAGATATTAGGCATCGCTATCGCTTATCAGTATCAGTTGATAACGCGAGGTACCTCTAGAAAAAGAGTTTAACAGTTGGTGTGTAGCTGAACAATACTCTAGTACATTCTAAAGTTATTGTTTTCGTTTTAATTCAATAATCGAGTGGTTTGTGAAAATATGGTGATTATTTTTAGAGTATCATTTCGATGAATTTCCCAGTGAAATTGATCGCGCTAGAATTTTAATACTATTTGTTACTCCTCTTTAAATAATCAACACGAAATTTCACACCACTCACAGAATTCATTGCATCGTTTTTGCTCAAATGCTGAAATCATTCGCTTGCTTAACTGGGAGTGCCATGGGTTTATCACTGTATAAAAATTATTTAAAAACTTATCTGAATCACCAACCAACAATTGCACCTCACGAAAATCGTCAAGCAACCGCTTATTTATATAAAATTCATTGAGCAAATTAAAAACAAAACTGAATAATGAGAATAAATTTAATAAAAACTGGCTTTATCGTGGCTTCTCGTGGCTTGTCATCGACTCTGGAAGAGCCTTGAGATTGGTGGATCGTGAGCATTGTCTATGAAATCCTCATCACAAGTGTCTCAGAAATATGGAAAAATACATCAATTATATATTTAATTTCCTCCAGAATTGCGTGTGAACCACCAACATTGTATTGGATTGAATACTCTGGGAAAGACTGCGAAGAGGCAACAGTTTTAATATCACGTCATGGCCGATCGTGATAATCACGTGGTGGAATCACGTGGTATTGGTAATGTACAAGCTGGACGTAACTCGTTTGGTCCAATAAGGAGAACTTTACTGACAGTATCACCAAGGGCAAATCAGGTGCATGAGAACAACAGGGCTGGTTCACCGGCTCTAGAGAGTCTCAAGCAGTGGGAATTGGTGGAGGGTGATCGTGGATTATGTGTAGTTGAAAAAAAAACTAATTCAACATCAATACCAATAAAAAGTATAAAGTGTCATCCAGCACCAGTGCCACCGTCACGAACAATAATAAATGACGAATTGGCACGTAGATTCAAGGCATTCGAGAAATCGAGTATTGTGCAGATGATACCATCACCGAAAATGGAGGATCAGGTTGACAATAAAATGCCAATAAGCCTCAATGCTATATTAAATCAAAAAGGTGAGACTAGGGCTCACGACAAAAGTATAGACGTACTGGATAAACTCGAGAGACAGGTGAAGGCTATTGAGATGAACACTATTGCCAATAAATCCCCTGGGATACTCCAGGACAGCTGTGATTTACAACCGGAAATACAACTTCGTTATAGGGAACACGAGGACCTGTTGAACAACGTCACCGACGACGAGGCCGAGGGGTAAATTTTCATTTCGATTTTATTTTACATTATTTTGTTTTTCTTTGTCCATTTTACATTCTTCCAACTTGTCAATGCAAAGCCACACGTCTAATTTTATTGGTGAATATCGTCATAAAAGGGCAATGCCATTGCAACGGGGTGAGCCAACGAGAAATTCCACTGGTACTGCTGGTATTGTCACTAGGAGACAGCCAGTTAAATTAGCTAGAACAGCATCCGATACGAGAAGATGTCAGGATACGGATATGCCACTGCGTGTATCCAGGGCTCAGCAGTCACGTGGTGTCAGGCCTCTTGTTACGGAGAGAGATAATCGACAGCATCAGGCACGTGATACCCCGGGTACCAGACCTATCACTGACATCATCGCCAAGGTCACACAACCCAGTCATCAGAAGGTATCCTAAAAAGTCAAATCATCAATGCATTCTCCTAAAGAAATTCAAACAACCGGTTCACCACTCCCATGCTGCACAACACGTGTCACTGTTACTTTATTTATTTCTCTTTATTATATTTCATTGTTGAGATATCCATGAAAAATGAGAGAAGAAAGACAAAGGCTTTCTTTGAATGAACTGATAGACTGATTGGTTTGAAATTCCACAGGGTGAGAATCCAATTCAATATCAAATGACCAATGAAATAAAAAATTTTTGGGGGGTCTTCTAGTCGTTTACTTGTAGTTATTGATTTATGAAAAAATAACTACTAAATGGCTATCGACTTTTAAACAAAATTCTGTTGTGGATTGGTAGCCAGGTTAGGTGATTTTTTCGAGATGAGTTTTCAGTGAATACCTTGAAACCGACTGGAGACAGTGATATTTTCATAGACACTTTAGCGTACCTGTTATCTTTCCGCGTAAAACCAGGATGCACACAAATATCGCTATCCTCCTTCAATTCCAAGATATCAGCTAAAAACTGGCCTAGAAAAAATGCCCTTATCCCAGTTAACCACTCAACTACTGAATCACAAAAAACTTGAAAAAAAAAATGACTCATTAAACAATAACAAAACGCATTACATGGTCTAACATTCGCAAAAATAAAATGTGTATTTTTGCGATCGAAGACAATTAAACACTCGATAATTTTTCGTAATTGCAATGACTATTTGGTATTTACCAATGAAAGATTCAGGGATATGTACGTTGTATGTTGTTGTATGCTGATGTACGAGGGTACAGAGGTAAAACGAGTTGTCGGTCGAGGGACCGAATCAGCTGACCTCCCTCAAACTTTTCAACGGAGCAAACACACCAAAACACACACATACCCTCAATACACGATAAGATTTATACCTAGGAAAACACACAGACGAGTGTTGTATCCGTATAATGCCCTGGGGGGTGGCTTTATGCACCCCTTCATATACAAAGCGAGGAAGGGTGTGTGAATTGTCATGACGCATGCGTGCCGATGGGGTTGGTAAAAGGGAATAGGAAGAACCCCTGGTGTATGTTGAAATCCAAGGGTGACTTGCTCCGCGCATCAGTTTGCCATGCTGACGGGAGTGGCGTCACGTATTGATTCAACTCCTTTTCATCCCCCGTGTATTTTCTTCCCCATCGGACAGTAGTGCTTCAGTCGTTTCACCATTTTTCTCTCCCTTATTTTCCAAAGATCATCATCAAACGATTATCATCAGAATAATTCTTCCTTCGGTGGATCCTCTGATCCTTCGATCAACCCTCGACGAATTATCATTCAGGATATCCTAATGATTTTTTTGTGGAGATTATCCATGTGTCAATGACAGTGTTTGTGAATGAGTGACGATGATGCGTGAAGAACAAGTGCGTGCGTTGTCATCTGCATCGAGTGAGAAGAGACGTTGTCAGAAGGTGATAGATTCGAGGCGTGTTGTTGTCAAGCGACATTCTCCAATCAATGGGGGGAACACGGAAATTCATTAGTTGTTTATACTTCATATTCGTGAAATCATTCCAATGGTCTGAGGAAGGATCTTCCTCGTTGATGATGAAATGAATTTTCATGAAGGGTTTTTTTTTCTCTCTTGCCTCTTTTTTTTTCAACTGTTACTGATTTTTTTTTTTTGCTCTTTCGAGCACTTGGGCATTGGCATTGACATTGGGCATGATCGATTGACATCAGGATTTTGGGGGATGGTGGACAGTTGTGGAAATTTTAAATGGCTGTCAGGGAATGGTGGATTTTAATACTTGAGGACTTGTTGAATCTAGGATTTTTTAGATTCAGGATTGATATTTGCGTTGGGATTTTTTTTTTATTAAAAAATAACCCGAAGTAAGGACAAACTGGCGGCTACTAAGGTCGCTCTGGCCCCTCGCACCATGGTCACCCGTGGACAACGGGTAATCAAATTATTAATAAAAAAAAAACTGAAATTATTGAACGTTTGCTGTGGTATTTGGGGTATGGGGGGTTCTTGGGGTGCATGAGCTATCAGTTCAGCATTCAATTGATTGAGTAACCTTGGGACCACCGCTGTTCCATTCAAAACAGTTGGTTTACTCTAGTTTATTTTAACGAGACTCAATTAATCCTATTGACAACAATACTCTGGTATGTACATAGTCGTGAAGACGTTATACGCACATTCCAGATGAAATTGAGAGGATCCTATCGGTTTCCTTCGGGTGAATTGATGATTATTGTCTGGTGATATTTTTCATTCAAGTGGAGGGATGACGTATCCAATGTGAAATAAAAACATAAGGAAAAGAAGAGTTGTGATGGTGATAGAAAGGGATGAGTCCAAAATAAATTTTTAGAGTATTTTAGTTTTGAGGATTTATCTAGGGATTGATGCAAGGTGAGCTAATTGTTTTGGATGAGGGGATGAAGGGACAAGTTTTACTTTAAATGAAGTTTTGTGGGGGTTTTGGACTTGATCTTTTTATCGAGATGTTGTTGTCAAGTATGGGCTTATTGTTATTAATGGTTTTTATAATCTGAATGCAGGTCGGAGATGGCGTGGGAGTGTCGAGCAGCGGTGGTCGGCTATCATCGAGAAGCCGAACCTCCGACGAGCCCCACATCGGCAAGTACAAGTTACTGAAAACTATTGGCAAAGGTAACTTCGCTAAGGTTAAACTTGCCAAGCATGTACCAACTGGAAAGGAAGTCGCTATCAAGATCATTGACAAGACCCAACTGAATCCAGGCAGTCTTCAAAAGGTTAATACAAATTTTTATTTAATTATAGAACTGGAGATTATCTGGTGAACGAAAATTGATAGAGAAGTTCCCAGGATTTGAGTTATGAGAGTTTCATTTTGGGCTTCAACCTAATTAAGTAAACAAACACTTCCTTGGCGTCATTTTGGCGGAATTTTTGAAAGGATTTCTGTAGGAATTTCCGCGTAGTTTTCTATTTTATTCAGTGGAACAACAGAAAATTTGTGCTGAAAATATTCGAGAGATTAATTTGAGATGAACCTTGTAACTATTTCAAGTTGAAAGGAAAATTTATGTGAATCCATTCCATTCTGGTGAGAATCAATGTTTAACAATAATTTATTTATTCCACATTCAGCTCTTCCGTGAAGTAAGGATAATGAAGATGTTGGATCATCCCAATATAGTTAAACTGTTCCAAGTAATCGAGACTGAAAAGACATTGTACCTGGTGATGGAGTATGCTAGTGGTGGTGAAGTATTCGATTACTTGGTATTGCATGGTAGAATGAAGGAGAAAGAAGCTAGAGCAAAATTCAGGCAAATTGTATCAGCCGTACAGTACTGCCATCAGAAGAAAATCATCCACAGGGATTTAAAAGCTGAAAATTTATTATTAGACAGTGAAATGAATATTAAAATTGCTGATTTTGGATTCAGCAATGAATTTACACCTGGAAACAAATTAGATACATTCTGTGGATCGCCACCTTATGCGGCACCCGAATTATTTCAAGGTAAATATCATCAATTACAATTAGTCATACGCATGCCTCGGAACTAGATTTTTAACGGACATTCAAACAGAAAAGATCCAAAAAAGGGATGAGATGATCTTTTTTGTGCATGAGATTTTGCAAGTACTTTATTCGTCACATTATTTATTACCCATCAATTTTCTTATCTGCGTAATTCTTTTATGCAATTAAATCCCTCTGATAGGTCGCGAATAACTCCGGGAATGGCGCCTAGAATACATCTGATAAACTCGAAATACTCGTTTTAATTCTGATGCGCTTTTGAAATGTTCTCAAGTTTTATTTTAATTCTTTAAAAAATGTCATTCTAGTGGAAACCTTCATTCACTGTAGGTAATATCTGTTCTGTTCACGCCCACTTCCCACTGGACAAATTGATCGTTTTAATTACAAATATTTAACGAGTCTCGAGAATTCCTTGAGAACATTTATCCACTTCAGAATCTCGTAAGAAATCCATAGACAAATCAAATGTGTGTAGAGACAATAATTAAGAATAATTAACCGTCAATCACCTGCAGTGACACACATAATGAATTGCGTCACATGTTTCTATGGAAGTGTGTCACAATTTATAAAAAATTATTGAATGTAAATTACGGAAACTTTGGATGCGAAACGAGCTCATAAATTACCCTTTTTTCTTTGAGTTTAAATTTTCTTCCAAGTCCCGTGTTTCACGGTGATTCATGTAATGAGTTAGTTGGAAGAAAATGAGACTGACAGAATGTAGGCCACAATACACTTTCGATTATTCTTGTTTTACAAGTTAACAGAATAAGTGGATGAATAGAAATATTCAGAGTAAAATCAGTGAAGCCACTCGATACAGAAATAGATTCTAAAATCATCAGGCAATGAGACAATTTTATAACTAATCCATACGAGAAGTCGATAAAAACCTCAAGAACTCCGAAAATAATTTCACCGAAGAAAAATTATTATTGTTTAAAAATTCAAGAACAAATTTAATGGTAAAGTAAAGGGAGATAACGATGCCCATTTTTTTCGATAAAGTTTATTCAGTTTCATCTCCATCTCATTTAATTATAAAACGAATATCCGGTGCATGTAATTAAAATACTATGCCAATACAACAATTTATTAATTTTCCCAGGAAAAAAATACGATGGTCCCGAGGTGGATGTTTGGTCACTGGGTGTTATTCTCTATACATTAGTATCTGGCTCACTGCCATTTGATGGTTCGACCCTAAGGGAATTAAGGGAACGTGTATTGAGAGGAAAATATCGAATACCATTTTATATGTCAACTGACTGTGAAAATCTACTGAAAAAATTTCTGGTGCTCAATCCGACGAAGCGGGCCTCACTTGAGGTACGTGGTGATAAGGTTCGACTAATCACCTTCAATTATTTTATCCTTGCCAATTAAATAATTTATTTACCGTTTTACTTATATTCTCATTGTTATTTCGTAGAATATCATGAAAGACAAGTGGATGAATATGGGTTATGAGGATGATGAGTTGAAACCGTACTTAGAACCAGAACCAGATTACAAAGACCACAAGAGGATAGGTGAGTCTGCCAGTATGTATATAAACACTTCCTAACTATTTTCATATGCAATGTTGTGTCAGTCATTAGTTAATTGTTGTATTCATCGTTTTTTTAAATGCACAATCATGTGGGGACGTAGAAATATCAAGTGGTAGAAAGATAATTATGATTAAAATTAAAATTCTGGTTATTTAGTTATTTCCAAATGATGAAATTTTACTGAAGTTCATGAAAGTTCCATAAAAAGTCGATTTTCCTCACGATTCATTCGAGATATTTGTAAAAGTGTTGAAATACTTTCGAGATGAATAATTTTATCATGAGTTTGAAGTCGAATCTGTTATTCATATATTTTCTTTAGAGATCATTCAATAATTGATGATTAAGATGAATTATCTATTTGATTGGCTAATTAAATTATCAGAGCGTCAAATTTCGGATCGGCGGGCGCTATTTACAAACACGTATGTTTCTTCAGGATAAATTGAGCTCCCACACGCTTCGTAATCGTGCGGTGCGAATTACAAGGCTTCAATTATTTAAACCTCTTTCTACCGCTTGTCTATTAGACTGGGGTAGATGTACCAATGGGATAGAAAGACGAATATTTTGTCGTCATTATTTAGCACTGCAATTTCAAACTTGTTTTGGCTGAGAGTTTGAAATGTTTAGATAAATGTTACAAATTGATTTCTTTGATTGGATGTGACTATGCCTCTGGCAACTCTGTATTACAGAAGCCCTAGCCATTCTCGGATATACGAGGGGCGAAATCGAGGAGTCGTTGGGACAGGCCAAGTATGACGATGTATTCGCTACGTATCTTCTACTTGGACGGAAGACAACTGATGTAAGTTGTTTTATTTTTATCACAATTATCCCGGCTTTCTCTGACAATTGATAATTCCTCATTACAATTTGTTATGATTTCAGTCTTCCAATTGTAATTGAAAAAATGATATTGTTGTATTTTTTTATTGAATTAAATACATTTGTTATAATTCTGGATGAATGATTTCAGCCTGAAAGTGATGGTTCCCGATCAGGCAGTTCACTCTCACTCCGTAATATTCCACCGCAAGTTGGTTCAGGTGGTGGTGGTTCAGGAGGTGGTACCGGTGGTACCGTACAAAGCCCATCGCACAGAGGTGTTCATCGGAGTATTTCTGCAAGCAATTCTAAACCCAGTAGACGTGCTTCCTCTGGTGGTGAAACTCTTCGTAAGTCCCATTGCAACCGACTAAAAATATTAATTCTCTTAATTTCTTAGGGTCTAATAACAATTTAAAGATTCATCTAATTTTTTGTATTTCCTGTTCTCCTATCCACACATTCTCTCATCAATGGAAAAAAAATACGAAATTGCTTTAATTTTTTTTTCATATTATTTGCAATGTGCTTCCGAATGGATTGAAATTATTGGAGGAATGTCGTTCATATTATCATAATTAATCATTATTCATTGGATCAATTTTTCAATTTCACAATAAATTTCATTTCGACATTTCTTCCTAGAAAATCTTTAATTCTCGAATGATCGTAAAATCTCTCGATTAACTGCGACAAAGAATGATGGAATTGCGATTAGAAGAATTGTGCCATTTGGAAGCAAAAATCATGAATCATAAATCATATTTGCTCACTTTGTGGTGGTTCTACCCCAAATTTTAACTACCAGGCGGAGCCCCAAGTCCAGGTAACGCAACGAATCACAACCATGCGACAACTGGTACTGGTGGTACAGTAACATCAACCGGTGGTAGTAATTTTAAACGTCAAAATACTGTTGATGCAGCTACCATCAAGGAGAATAGTGCACGTGTATCAGCAACAAGGCCAGCAGCACCAAAAAATAGTCCTGGACAGCTCGATACCAGTGAGTTTATTATTACGACCTCAGATAAACCACGTGAGATATACAAAACAGCAATATTATCACTTTATTTTTACCATTTTTTTTTGGTCCCTCAACCGTGGCGATTTAGGATGCTTTTTGTTGCTTGGAAACGAGGCGCGAACAATTTTTTATCACTTCAGAAAGGAAATTTGTATGTAGTCCATCCTCAAGGCAATTTTCTTCGTTTCCTCTCCTTTCCTTTTTCGTTTATCGTTTTCTTGAAGTTTTGTTCATTTTTTTTTCTCTTCGTTGAGTCTGTTGTTCGAATGTAAACTAGCGTAATTAATTGGCTAATCGTTGGAAATTAAAAAAATATGAAAACAATTGGAGATATCGATGATGTGCTTAATTTGCTAGTCGTTTCGTTTGTGATTATTTTTTTGATCGTACGTTGGTTTGTTTTGTGTTGAACCACATCTAATGAGGCTTGCAGTGACAATGTTCATTCTAGGCGTTGGTACGAGTCCTGGTGGTAAAGCGAGAGTTGGAAAGAGCAATACGATAAATACTGGAGTTGCTGGTGTACGACCACTGACATCACCAGCACCTGGAACTGTTGGTAGACGCAGCACTATATCCTACGATCAGGCTAAAACGTCTTCATCGTCTACGGAGAAAACTAATGATGTACCAAGGTATGATATTCATCATCAGTTCACTTCCATAATTAACGTTGTATTAAAAAAAAAACAACAGCTCATTCCATTGACACTCATCTCACGGTGATTAACATTGTGACTTTAACTAATGGATTTTGTGCATGAGATCATTAATTCTCGAGTTTGATGCACAAAATCTTTTGATTACAAATACGTTCGATTACTAACCAATAATTGCGCACCTTTTTTTTCATGAGGGTAAGAGAGTATTTAGATGTCGAGAAGGAATTTAGAAGTTAAGACATGTGGAGATTCGAATAGAGAGTGAACGAAACTCAGTGAGATTATTTATTTGTTGCATTATTTATAGCATGCTTGGCTGTTGCCTGATAATGATATAAATATCATCAATTTCATCAATTGTTAAAGACTCTGATCATTGAATATCAACAACATCATTAGCATTTCTATAGATATTTTATTTGTCAGGCTGTATGAATTCTGTAGTGGACGGATAAAACTTTGAGAAATTTTTATGGGGTACAGTTTTTATAATGATTCATCAATGAATTTCAAGTCTGTTTGCATCACTACAGAATTCGTCTCTCTGGTTACCTATCAAGAATAACACAACTCAAATCCGAGGAATAAAATGCTCAATCGTGGCCGGTACAATTTAGATATTGCATGAAATTCCCTTATCGAAAAAAAAATGAAAAACCACTAAATAATAGATAATTGAAAAAAACATGTGACTACGTCTCGTTAATTTCTCATTATTTATGAAAATAAAAAAGTACGTGGCTGAATGTTTTTATTCAATTTTCATATACAACAATTTTTATGCAACACTTCAATTGAATTTAGAAGAGAGAAAATGTTTAGGTGAATCAGGCAAAATTACTTGGGGGCAATCTGTTGAATTAGTTTTGTGCACAGCTTATCCGAGGGCACTAGGCCAACACGTGGTCATATCAAGTCAGCGAGCATCAGTGCAAGTCATCGTTCCTCGAGTGGAGTACCACCGAGTGACAATTCACTCCTGGATAATCAACCACGGAACGCTCACAACTCATTACTCGCAACTGCTGATCCTCTTAGACAGAGGTACAGGCTCCCCACTTTCCTTAAATTCAATGTCTCAAGACGAACATAAAAAAGTTCAGTAGTGGAGAATAAACCCATAAAGAAACTCGAATGAGTCAATTTCCTTTCGAAATCACTCTTCGGTATTCAACTCGATGAAATCTCTAGAGAAGATGAGAGAATAGTCACAGAGACCTTCTTCATAGTTCTTTCTACTTTCTATTAAAAAAAGTCTCTGCGAAATTTCGCCATTTCCTGTGAGATTTCATAGGAGCACATCCAGGAGTCATTTCAGCAATGAGTTGATTTTATTTGATTTCAATATTTGACTGCAGAATTTTTGACAAACAAACCTTTAAATTATTCCTCACAATTCGGCAAAATTTCATTTTCTTTGTTATTTTTATATCCGCATATATCTTCGGCCACTAACTCTCTTGGGGAATCTACATACTCATGAAATTCGAGCTTCGAAGTATCTCGTCGCCTATTGGGAGCTGTAAATTATAAATTCAGAGTTATAAAGTGAATTGAAACACGATTGAATTTTTTTTATCATTCACGTAGGAACTCTAGGATAGTTTCTGGTCATTTCATCACCATTCAACCATTAACACATTTTCCTTTGACATTTAGTTTCATGTATTCATTTTTTATAAGTTTGTCTGGATTATTCTTTATTAATATTTTCGCATAACCTTCATTCATAGACTCATTCATCAAACCAAACTCATTAGTGCTGACGGCATGTATGCTTTACTTCAATGTTGCAATTTACTGAGCTTCGGGATTAAAGCGTCGACTTTATTCTTTCATTTCGAATGGATCCATTCGCTTGCGGCTTGACTCGTTGAAGGTTTTGTTAATTTTAAAATGGGATATTAATTAAATCCGAATTTTGACAAGTTAGGGAAATTGCTCTCGCCATTCCAACAAAAAGGAATTGATATATTCCTGAATTAATCTTCACGTCTATTTCCTCATATCTCATTGCTTAAAAATTCTATCAATACTAACAATTGCAGGCAATTACAGATAATCTTGCTTATCGCTTTATCAATTCCGTTCATTTGCAATGGATTTGATGTGAGTCCCAGGTGATCAATAATGGCGAGATTTCCCTCACTCTTTTCCTCTTCTCTTTACGTTTCCATTAAAACGAGTCCAATAAAATTGAAAACGGATTTAACTGAAATGACTTTTAACTAATTTGCCACTGAATTGAAATTCCGTAATTTTCCATTGCTACAGAAAATAATTAACTTACCTTCAAACTGCTGCAACGCATGGGTCGCTTTAATTCAGAATGTGAAATTTAATCTTCAGATTGAACTTTCTCTTCATCATAATTATAAATTAATGTTTCATACCTAATTTATTTTGGTTTATTATTATGTGTGGATACAAGAGTGTATGTGAAAATGTATTACAAATTGCGATTACATTGGAATTGTCATTAAATTGAAACTTAATGAGTTGCTCAGGTGTTATACACGCGAATTGAGGTTTACTCATAAATGAATGATTTTTATTTAGCTTGGGGGTGTCACCGAGTAATAGATTCCCACCCACAACGCCAGCATTTCCGAGGAATGTTCCCAGTCGCAGTACGTTCCATTCTGGTCAAAACAGAGCGCAGCGAAATCATACTCAGGTAAAATTCACAAAATATCGTGTTATCTTGGGTGAAAGCATCTGTTTTGAGGCTGCAATCTGATTGTTCCATGGGTCAACGCTATTTGTTCATTTAACATTTTAGTACAGGTCAAGATATTATTATAGCTTCTCATCCTCCATGACTTTCATAACAGATTCATCGAACAATTCATTGCTAAATTATTCGAGAATCTTCTGAAGCTATTTCTCTGAATAATACAAATGAGGAGAACGAATATTGATGCTGATGCTCGCCCAGTGGAGCTTTCAATCAATTAGTAAAGTACTAATTGTTTCTGAGTTTGCGATCGATTAAACTTCGATTGTTATAAATTCTCAAGAATAATAAACGATGATATATCGTGAAGACCTACGATGCACTGCAAATTGATGCTTTCACATAATAATTATTAAAAACTTGTTTTAATAATCGAATTGAATGGTCGAAAAAATTACAGGGGTATACACTCACACAGGATACGGCTGCGATAAGTCCACAAGCCAGGCCATCTTTCTTCTCAAAACTCTCTTCGAGGTTCTCGAAACGGTGAGTGTCATTTTATTCCCAATGTTCATCCATCTATTTATTGTTAAATGGTCTCAGATCAATTCCCCTCGGCATGGTAATCAGTATTTTCCATCTACAATTACAGTAATTCTATCTCGAACATATCGATCCCTATCCATTATTATTTCTCCGTCTTCCAGTGCTTTTGGTGAGAAGTAATGAGTCATTAATTAAATACGAGTCATTTATCAGTATTAATCCAAACGCAACTAATCCACTCGCCAATATAATTCATCCTATTGATTGTTCATTTATAATTTCATTGTTCGTTCGTTAAATTGATTCACTCGATTAATGCAAAAAATTAATAGGTTATTGTTGAAGAAAAATTATATTTCTGTAAAGATTTTTTTAGGAGAAATAAAATTCAAATAGTTATTTTCATTTAGTGTAATTGATTATTGAGATGACAGAACAATTGATGAGATGAATTACGTTGAACACATTTCAATTAACTATAATGATGTGATTATCTCCCAAATGAGAAATTTAAAGAGAAAATGGTGAGAGACATATTTTGACATTTACTCTGAAATCCCTCATCACTGGAGTTATTTCATATCCACCGATATGTGAGGAATCAATCACTTGACATTTTATTTATTCACTAAATTGTCAACTAACAATTGAGCAATCATTCATAAAAAAATGATGGATTATCGTTGTTTCGTTTCCTCACATGTGCTACGCATTAATTAATAATTACTGTCACTCATGTCGAATGAACCCGAGGAATTATATTGCATGCAAATTTGTTGTTACTTGTTTATCTTTTTTTTTTTCAAGGATGCACAATGACTATGTATTGGTTCCTTTTTGAGTCCTCAAAGGGATAAAGATGCATTAATGATTAATGATTAATGAATAAAAAGTGGAGAGACACATTTGTGATGAATTATTTGTTTTTGGCCCGGTTTATTCTCAATCGATGAGTTTAGCAGCGACCATTATCAGTGAAAGCTATTGTTTACATATCAATGTAGCTTAAGTCTATTCCTCATTTATTTTTATATTATATTTATAGTTTAGTCTTATCATTACGACAAACATCCGCGCACGTCTATTTGTATTCCCTCATTGTGAGTCCCATAAACACCTGCTTGAAAGCGTATTATTTATTCCTACTTAGGATAAATTTCACTGGAGTCAGATGTGGTTTTGTAGCTTGAAATCCATCATCAATTTCGTATCCAAAGTTGATACCAATGATAACGAGAGAATATTCATTTTTGCTTTCGTAAAAATTGATGGTCGATATTCCAATTACGTGATGTTAGATGCTCCGGAAAATTGAGGAATTGGATTGAAATTTTAATCGATTTTATTGGAATTCCTGTACCTGTTGATTTGAAAGATTTCAATGACTTCAGAGACTGAGTGAACTAATTTGAGAATTCATGACTCAGGAGTTATTCGAATTCAATTATTGCGAGCTCCAGGCAATTTCCCGACTCCCATCAAATAAATTCGCTGGTGTTCCCTTTTCCCTGCATTTGAGAAGTGAGGTATCATTATCTTCAATTTAAAATTAATAAACAAGTGGACAATTGGTCGCTGCGTTGGTCAAATAGGTCAATCGGTTTTTCGTGTCTTTTATGTTACCAATTGCTGTTAATTCCATTAACAAAACACCGTAGCAGCCCAATGAATCATTTTTTTCGAGTCTCAGATATTTTTTGTTAAATAATAACAATGACAAAGAATGAATTTCTCTTATTCATAAAACCCCCTCTTATTGTTACGGCAGAAATAAACGTCTCGAGGCATAAAATTAGAATTGAAGTTTAATATTTCCGGATTTTTTATTGCATTATTTGAGGTATGTTTAGGGGGTCATAAAAAAGGATTTCTCATGTAAAAAGTATTAATGACGATGGGATAGTCGCCACTCTCTCCGTTTACCAGCAATCCTAATCCTCAACATCCCGGAAACAATTTGAGTCAATAATCAATTTGAATAGTTAATAAAAATCAGTGATTTGGATTTAATGGAGACGTATAATAAAAAACTTTTACTTTTTTTGGGATTATTAAATGAAATGCGATGGATAAATATGAGAATCGGCCATCATTGAAAAACAATCACGTATTCATCTCAATTTTATTGCATCTTGTTTAATTAAATAATTCGATCTACAAAACCACACCTTGATTTTTTGAAATTACTTTTTATATCGACTTTGCAGTGAAATGGGAAAACCAGAAGAATTTATAAAAATAAAAATTCATATAAATTTTTGATGTTCACTCATTCCACAAGTATTCCACAGAAAAAAATTCTTGTTCAATGAGTGATTATTTCGGTTATAATAATTTTGAAAAAGAAATAGCGCGAAAAATCCCGATCCATCTCCATCTGTCCACCACTTAATTACCGAAAAAATGAAAAATAGGTTTCAAATAAAAAATTGATATTTTTGATAGAATTTGATGTTCATAGTAGTTGACAAGATATAGAAAATATTCCCGGCGACTGACACTATTCCTTCATCAAACGAATGAATTTACAATGAGATATGGAGAAAAACCAGAAGAATTGATAAACTTTGAAGAATTTGCAATCAATTGTTATCAGGCTACCTCGCATATTCATTGTGCATCCCTACTGTTTCTGCATTGAATTTTTTTATTCATATTTTGAAATTGTAGCGAGGCATTTCTCAAAGTTGCCAGCATTAATTTGACTTACTATTTATATACTTCTCTCTCTATCCTAGAGCTATTGACTTTGTTTTCAATAAAAAAAAAAAATGAATCAAAGAAAAAAAATTGATAGGTAAAATAGTGGAATACAATTGTATGATGTAGGCAATGTCGTGATAAAAAAGCCAAGACAGTATTTGGAATTTCGAACGAGACGATGGAAAATGTATGATGACAATGTGACGACCACAGAATAACGTCATAAAATCTATAATCTTTCATGATATGGTCACTGTACTCATCAATTAATGGTACAGATTAAAAAAGTTGGATGAGAAGCGAAGAGAGAAGTTCAAAATATCACATAACCATTGATGCATCATTATAAAAATAATAATAAATCGTTTTTTGTATAATTTTCTATGATGAAAAAATTTTACTGAAAATATTGAACAAATACTGATTTCGGTGTAAATTCTGTTGCTGCAGGACTTGAACCAAGTAGAAATACGGCTCCTGTCTCTCAATGTGTCCAATGACGGCCAAATATGACGCGAGTTTTCCTCATTAATCAACCAACCAATGACGCGTTGCTGTTCAATGACCTGAGGCAACTAAAAACACGTCACTTTATATAAAAAATTGATTTTACCTTTGAAAATTTCCATTGTTAAATCGCTGCAAGAATGCTAACAAGTCGAGGCTCAATGAAGAATGTGATGCATTGAAAATGCCTGTTTGGATGGATCTGTGTGTGTCTATGGGTGAATCTGAGTGTGAATGCTCAAGAGGAAAAGAGGAAAAAGAGGGAAAAGAGGGAAAAGAGTGATTGAGAAAGTGTGAGAATGCAAAGGCGAATGACATGTAGTTATGTGTACATTTGGATACGTTATTCTGTGGTGCACCGATTATCGCATAGATACATTTTTCATTATCTAGTATTTAAATATTTCTTGTACATTAATCGAATTTATTAATTCAAGTTGTATATTCAGATTGATCATGTATGTTTCTTCATACTGATAATGTCCGGAGGGAAGTTGTACGGAGATACAGAAAAGGACATATTCTCAGAAAAGTCTTGTTTCAACCACAAATCTCACGTTTCAATCTGTTTCAAGTTTGACTTTTTTTTTTATTTCAACACAACGTTTTTTAATGTTGATTTTTTTTTTGTTCACGAAATATTCGGAAATTGTGCCATTTTAGGATGACGATATTCTCCGGAAAGTCAAGGGAAATACTGAATATTTTTATCCTCACTTACATATCATTATTCATATTTTATAGGGAAAATAATGGAACAAAAGTGCTCTTGCTCCATGAAATATACGATTTTGGGAAGCAAAATATAAATGCTTTGTGTAAGAAAAGAGAGTTCTTACTTAGAGAAATTATTCCTTTATAAAAACAAAAAAATCTATTTTTGAGATGAAGATCTTCGAAAAACATTTCAAAAATTCCAATAACAATTCCTTTGGTTTGAATAAGACTCATTTGAAAATATGTTGTTTTTATATCTCATTATAGAGGATAGGTGGTGTGTTCAAAATAGGATTTGAATAAAATTCTTGTAAAGAATTCACGTAAGCGAGGAAAATAGCTGGAAAAACTCTTTGATTAAACTGAACACTCACAATCGATTTTTGGTCGATAAATCCGTGAGAATCTCGTAAAAGATGAGTTATCATGATTTTTCGTTGTAGTCACTGAGATTTGCTGATGACAGTATTTTTTAAATTATTAAAATCCCCGTGTACGTAATTTTTTTGAACTCACCCCTCATTATAGACAACCTCGCCGGACATATTTAATACCCTAAGAATGATAAAAAAAAAAAATTCCCAAATGTCTTCCATCGTCGCTAGACATTTTGTGTCGAAATAGATACGAGGGGGTGGGTGTCGCCTTACGCACTTTAGAAACTGCACATTAAACAAATAAAATTCGTGCCTTTCCCAATAGAATTTTTCACACCTCAAGTCACACGTCCAAACTATACGAAAATCTAAAAAATCAACTGAGAATATTATTTTTTTATGACAAAATAAAAATGATAAATGATGTTTGATACTTCGGGATTGGAATAAAACTAGGTAATCCTCAATTAGCTTTGCTGTAGTGATAATTACTCCCTCAATAAAAATCTAGCCGACGTCGTCAGCGAATTGGTTTCCAAGAAACCCTCGATTAATTAACGATAGTTAAATAAAAACAAATAAATGATGATAGATAAATTTATCCTCTGAATAATATTTAAAAAGAACACTATAATCGGTATGTCATTATAATCGTCCCGTGCATCAACAGGTTTTCTAAGTGAAAAGGTGGACGATGAGTTCGCCATGTTTTCATCACGGTGAAACGAGTTTGCGAGTTGTATCAAGCCTGGGGTATCTCACGCATCGGCAATTACAGTTGCCAAAAAGCGAAACAAATAATTAAACAGAAATTCACATTGAGAAAGGAGAAAAAAGATAATAGTTAATAAATGATGAAATACGAATAGAAGTGTATAATTATTTTTTCACTAATGACAAAAGGTGAAAAGGAAGAAGAGAAAAATTTTAAAATTTTAATTAGAATTTAATGAGAGGAGAGCATTAACTCACTTGGGGGTATTTGTTATGTATTATAAATAAAATGGAGGAAAACAAAAACACAATGGAATAAATTGGCCAATAATCGGCATTAATCGGTGATTAATTTGTATTCAATGAAAAAATCAAATACTCAATTAACAGTTTCTCAAACGATTTTGAAGTGAATTTTTTTTTAGGTGTAATTAAGTATTATTAGCGGATCATGAAGTATCTTTGATTCTTCGGAGAAAAGTGAAAATTCAATTGTCCGTTTGAGAAAAGAAAATTAATTCAGAATATTATAAGTTCAGGCTGTTTTGTTCTTTTTATTTCTTTGCATTCTCATTAGGTTTGACTGTGATCTCAATATTCTCTGCGTGAAACCCGAATATAATATTCAATTATTATTTTCTTCTTTTCCCTTTTTGCTTCAATCGAATTTAGCTCAGTTATTATTTCCCTTTCTGCCGTAACATTAATCATTTTTGGTTTTATTCATTATATACAATGACAACAGAATGCATTTTTAGAAATAATTTAAAAAAAGAATGAGAGAATAATTAAGTTCGTAAGAAAATAGAATTAAATCACCGAACATTTTATTCTATTCTATTCGTGAATTTATCGAATGAACATGATAATGAATTCGCATTGTTGCTGATTAAATAGCTTAAAAAAAATCAAACTTTCCAACGATTTTTTGAAATATATTCGGGATGCATAGATTTTTTTTATCGCATAACAGAAATTGTACAAAACTACGACTCAATCTGATTTTTTTGTTCCCAATGATCATCGAATTGATTTTTTAAAATCATGCAAATATTTCTCCATTTTAATTGCGATTGTGCACTTGAATCTTGCGAGATATCTGAAATAAAAAAATCACCAATTATTAATCTAAACCACAAACAAATGGATGAATAACTAGATTGAAGAGATCGGCTTAATCGCGCGTAAAATTGTGGCTTTCTTTTTATCCAATGATTGTTGCTGCTCTATGATGCTGCGCATATGATTCAATGCAATGCAAATAACAAATAACACACTCATTATTCTTTCACAGATAAAAATCCGGCGAATTGCTTTACGAATTATCAATTGATAAAATAATCCTATTGACTACAGAGTTATATTTTCATTCAATTTATTCCCTCCCATAATTATTATCAACTTGGACCTCCAAATATATTCATAATAATGATTACTATATCAAATTGCATGAATGACTGTAGGAAATTGTAAAGCGATGAAGTATTGATAAAAATAATTCATTTGAATACATGGGAAGTGAAATTATTGCTAAAAGCAGAGAAACAAAGAAAAATAAATAAATAAATAAACAATAGATAAATGTGCGCAAGTGAAATAAAAAATATGACAAAGAATAACCCTCGGCCGACAGCTAGAGTCGGTGTGTCGCTGTGAGATACGAACACTGGGGAACATTTAATGAGAGAGAGCGAGAGATATTAATTAATGAATTAGAACACTACACATATTATATAAGTAATTCATAGCAAACATTTATATTAATGATATATAAATATGAATTTTATTATGCCTGTATTGGACTGTACTGTTTACTGCGCTCCAAACCATGTTGCCCATCTCTCCCCCCAGCCACCCACAAACTTAGAGATAATTTCATTGAGCATTATGATTTTCTTAATGTCCTTTATTCATTATTCAGTTTAATCTATTTTAGATGATTCTTTATTTAATTAAAAAAACAAAGCGAAATCAATTTTCTTTTTTTTTTCAACAATGCAATCACTTATTGATATTAGGTATTCATTGCGTGGAGGACAGTAAATGGAATAGCTGAAAGTGAACAGAACGAAAGAAGGAATAAATTGCAGGATAGAATTTATTATTTAATAATTTTAAGAAGCAATAATAGTAATAATTTCATATTAATAAATATTTTAAAAAATGTCTTGTAAATGTTGTATCGATTTATTTCTTACAAAACCTTTATCGAAGAAGGATAAACACATGTTGTTTCATTATTAATAATGCAATAATGTATTTTCACAATGCATGCATGTTATTATTGTGTTAATTTTTACATATACATTTATTTATTCCTGCAAATACGTGGATTGGTTAATTTTGTAACAAGCCTTTGCAACTGGAATCGATGTAATGATGTTATTACTTTCTTTAATTTCGATTTTCGATGGATGTTCAATTGGAGAAGAGAAAAATTGTTGATTTACGAGCACCTGCCAGGGGATGCCATAGCTACATTTTTGAAGATAATCAGCCGATTGTCTTTGGATAATTCTTCTTCATGGGGTTTTTTTAAAATATTAATTAATATCATTACCCCACAATAAATTTGCTAATGGCAACATCCTGGTGATGGTCGTACTAAAGTAGATGAAATCAACAGAAGAAAAGACATTTGTATCAAATTCTTTTTAGTCTCCGTTAGCAATTGCCTTTGTTTTGTTATTTCAGCCCCATGGACCCATCCGTACCCCCCAAGCACCCAGTAGTGAGGTACGTTGCATACCTTTTCATTTCAATCGCTCAATTTTTATTTGTATTATTTATGTAGAGAAATGATAATTATTCGGAGACCAGTCCTTATATTTAATCTTTAATCTTTATACTATTTTGCAAGCAGATTAACAGAAAATTAAAGTCATTAATGTTTAAAGTCTAGATAATTGTTTAAATTATTAAATCTTTCACAAAATAGTGTAATGAGATTTTTCAAATGATCTGTTCTACATCCAAATCACTTCTCTACCCATTTTCACTCGTTTAATTTGAATTCATTGCCTCCAATCTTCTTGATTGTTAACTATTTTTATCAATTCAATTACTTGTCTCACTGTGGCAATTTAATTTATTTGTTCTATCACTGACGCATGTGCTGCTGCGATAATTAACAGAACTGACTAGTATAGAAAACAATTCGTCAATTGACGAATTATCCAATTGACATTTGAGGAATGGCTTGTCAATTAGCTTTGAAAATTAACTAATTGCATGCTAGGCATGTACGTTAATGAACCAGTGCTCGGTGACATTATTCTTCCCTGTAACTCAACTACAAACAATTAATAATTGTCAGTTTGCTTGACAATGTACTTGAAAGTCTTCCTGAATCAATTATTCTAGTCGACTATTTGCAGATATTTGCAAAATACACAAATCCGTTAAAATTATTACTAAAATATCACGAGCACCAAAAAGAATTCTTGATATTTCCTAGAATGCCCTAGTTTTCCAGACATTTGCAAAACAAAATGGAAAGTACCTTTCCCCTGTTCTCCAACATTTCACATAATTAATGTAATATTATCAATTAATTAATGAATTTTCCTATTAGTGGAATATGAACCATTTAATTCCACTTGGAAAACTTTGAGAGAACCTAGCAATAATAACTCTCTAGGAGAAAAAACAAAGAACTCCAATGACCATAAATTTCTAGTTCCTAAGGTACTTTAGGATTAATTAAAAGTGCAGTCTTAAGATATATTTCTGTTGCAGTGGTGCAACCACTAACGACGAGCAAGTCAAGCCACGTAGCTTGCGCTTCACCTGGAGCATGAGGACAACGAGTAGTCGAGATCCAAATGAAATCATGTCCGAAATACGTAAGGTAAATGATGATACATCTCACCAAAAAATTTCAACCGTCCAAATAAAATGAAACGCCGCTATTTACACTGTAAAAAAAAATTCTCTTTCCAAAAATATTCACCTCCCACCAGTCAATCTGCATAAACACTTCCATAAGAGCTGCTAATGCCAAATATTATATTATACTATATAATACTATAAAATATAATTATAATTATAACAATAATAATGATTATTAATAAATATTATACTTTCTATATTTTGTTTGCTGGAAAAGAGGACATGAGGACGAATAATAGAAATAGCGACAACAGAATAGTTAATAATTCACTCAAGTTTAAAGAAGGCGAATTAATTGTTTGTATGCAGGTGCTGGATGCTAATAAATGCCAGTACGAGCAACGCGAGCGTTTTCTTCTATTATGTGCACACGGTGATGCAGCAACAGACAGTCAAGTGCAGTGGGAAATTGAAGTATGCAAGCTACCCCGTTTATCATTAAATGGCGTTAGATTCAAACGCATACTCGGTACATCAATAGGATTCAAGAATATTGCAAGCAAAATAGCTAACGAGCTCAAACTGTGACTACCGGCTGCTGGTGGACTTGCCACTAATGTTAATCCATAACCCAGACGTGATAACGGTCACAACGTGGCTGATTATTACGCTGACACATCCTCATTTTTTGATTGGGATTCGGACAGTGATTCGGAGGAGACACGTGAAGTATTTGTTTGAAATTAACTAATGATTATCGGCATTAATTGATTATGCCAATCGATAATAAATGGAGGAATCTATGAAGTATCTTCTATATCAGTCGTGTAGTCTTCATTGGAATTCGAAGATATTGAATAATTTTTTCAATCACAGAGAGATCAAGGAGAATCGAGTGATAATTTCTCAACCTGTGATCTACAAGACTCGTCCACGATTCTAATTCCTTCAATGTCTTTCTCCTTTCTTTCTCGTAATTACCCTATCCCCGAGCTTCTTCGTGTGCCAAAAGAAAAATACTTGGGCCTGATTTAAATACGATACTTGAGAAGAAATATTCGGGGCACTGTTATGAATCAAAGGACAAATCAACTCAAACATAATCAAGAGTTCGAGATCAATCTCTTCGAATAAAATCCACTGTAGGGATTCTACAATAACGATTACTAGAGTTAATAGAAATACGAAATTTCTCCCTGAGTGAATTTAGTAGTCAATTTTTCGTTTTATCTGCAATTCGATCATGATCTAATGGAAATGTGAGAATTAATAACATTTGTAGTGAATAGAGGAAAAGAGGAGAGAACAGAACAGATAAATTTCATGTACCTGTTGAATACACGTACATTAAATACGCATAAATAATTAAACAATCAGAATAATGCCGGGGGAAGTGAAGGATAATTATTTGTTTTTCATCGAAACTTGTGGCACAAATATTATTAATTAATCGTTTATTTTGTAGATGAATGAAAGTGTCATCAGTCTCTCATGTCGGTCAATCAATCTGTCAATAAGTAGTTGCCTACATCATTTGTCAGTTGATTAATAAATGAATGGAAGGAATTTAATTAATAAGTAGGACATTGAAATACTTGGATCGTTGCAAGTTGTGTGAAACATAAATCCCTGTTGAGGTAATGAGTTTTTTCAATTCATCTTTATTTTCCATCTTTTCAATCCTCATTTCACTGTCAATTAACTGTATTATTGTGAAGTAATTATTATTTGTTATGAATATACTTCGATCATCCGTCAATAACATGAGGATCAATAAATTGAATGTAATATTTAGACGGTATTCAATCGTACAATTACTGGATTTCGTCCAAAATGTCAATACTCATCTCCGATGAGTCTATCCTTTTGTTCTTTCTCAACAACATTGACCTAATCGCTTTAGTTAATAATCAAAATATCTAATTCGGTCATTGAAAAACAATCAATAAATTGAGATCTGGATATTTTTTATTGACCAATGCAATCGATTATGAAATTTAGATTTTTAAGTGGCTCTCTGGAACTAGTATGTTCAGAGGGAAGTATTCAAAGATCTTTTTTTATATTTTCCCTGAGAGCTCCTTCTTTCGATTACATTTACGTATAATTACCCATGGATACAAATTTTTATCGGGTGCTTTTTGCGGTTCAATGAGCATGTATATTTTTTTTATAAAAAAAAATTAAATGAAGAAAGTGTTGTGTATGGTTGTATACTTTTTGGGGCTTGCCAAAGATCTATAGTTGTATATAATATAAAGGTACTAAATTATAAACGGAATAAGCCTCGTGTGTCGATTTTTCTTTTGGATAAATATAACTGTTCGTATGCGCACTGCAAAATTGGGTAAATTCAATTATTGGTGGAATTTTTGTATCTGCCTACGTATTGACAAGCATAAATACAATCGGTGTTGATGAATTAGGGGATATTCATCATTTCTGTTACAAAGTGGCAAGGAACAAGGGATGAGGTCACAATTTTATATGAATTATTTGGGTAAATAATATCTTGAAAACTGATGGGTTCACAGGAATAAGGAGAAATCTTCTCTTGTCATCCTGTCAATCTTTTCTCTTCAAGAAATTATCAGAATGATCCACATAATAGGATCTCATCTCATTTCTCCACAATTCTATTATTTTCTTTACTTGAAACATCAGCAGATCTTCTCACGCTATTTAAATGAGGTATTCCTTGGGAAATCGTTGCTGTTGGAAAAACAATTGTTCTGATACTCCGAGAGGAGTTGAAAAAAATTACTTAAGGGCCGGATGGAGTATCTCGGAAAGATAATTTACTCTAAAATTGGGATTCCTAATTACTCCGCCAATTAATCGTTTTTTCCGATAATTGTTAGCTAGCGTTCTAGTCGTTGACAACCGCTAGAACGCTAGCTAATAATTATCGAAAAAAACGATTAATTGCCAGAGTAATTAGGAATCCCAATTTTGGAGTAAATTATCTTTTCCAGATAATCCAACCGGTCCTTAAATTACTTTTACCAATTTTTCGGAGTTGTTTGTCATGAAAAATCAGAGAAATTACACTTATGTAGTTAATATTATGTTGATTCAATTATTGGATATTTAGACTATTGTGTGGTTTGTCGAAATTTGAAAACTCGAATAACAACAATTCAGGTGTAATTTTTCAACTAAATTACGTTTTTGCTGGGTTATCAGAACAATTACAAATGCGTCCACTGAAATACAAAATTTCCTATGGAATTTTTCAAATATCTTGCTACGATCAATGCCCAAACAATATTCAGAGTTTCATACATGAAAAAATCAACTGAACCACGAAAAAAAATACAAAAAAAAAAAATCTAAACTGTGTACTTTTCATGGACCTCCAAAGTTACACAAAATTGCTGCAACTTGTTAAACGACTGATAGGAACTAAGTATCGACAGTAGCACTCTCATTATTTTAATTCATCAAGAAATTAAAGAAAATGGCAGATTAATATAATTTCATAATTACAAGAAGCAAATGAATGGACCTACATTGACAGACAAATTGAGGAAAGCAAAAAGATATTCGAGGAAAGACAATGGAAGAATGATAAGCACTGGCAAGCGGGACTTATTGTTTCCTTAAATAAATAACAAACAAATATGTACAGTTTTTCATCAAACACTCAATTATTTTAATCAGCAATTGATTAAAAACTAAATAAATCAAGCCCACACACCCAACGGCCCATGTAATATAAACTAAATAAAATCCACAACTTCATGGAATCACTTCATCAGTTCATAATGAGATGAATCGTCTTCAATGAAAACAAATACAATAATTTACTCATTAATAAATTAATCATTGTCCATAATATCACTGTTTTATTTTAGAATTCAAACGTTTCAAATGATAAGTAAACGATAAAAATCATGATTTCATTAAAACTTTCTTTTGCTAATGCTATTGACACTACGTTAAGTACAATATTGAAACGTAAATAAATAAATAACGATTGTAATATTATAAAAAGAAAAGAAAACAAATGTATGAAGCTGAAAATGCTGTCAGAATGATTCGAATTGGTGATTACGCAGGGGGGAATAAGTGAATCGATATGCATATAAATATATAAATATGAATATATATATATACATCTAATCATAGTAATTATTACTGTTAGAGAATTTAATTGATAAGGAAAATCCCTCTTAGTGATTAATGGTGAAGTCCCTCTTAACACGCTAAGTAATTGTATTCTGTAATTCTATACATACACGAAGAAAATGATAAATGGTTAAATGAAAATCTCACCGCTCTCGCTTGCTTGGTAAATGGAGAATTACGAGGGAAATCAATTTATGTAAATTCGATAAATTAATACTGAAATGCGTTTAATGTTTAAGGCCACTTATCCATTCAGATTAATTAATTTATGTGAAAAATGTAGAAATTTTATCGATTAATTTACATAATACATTTTATTTCGATATTCGAAGGGAAGAAAATATTAAAAAGACATTTTTACGGGTCAGGAAAGATCTATGAGAAGAGTTTTTTCAATATTTTCGTAAATATCTCGTTATCGTAGAAATTTCTTAATTGAGGAAATTAATGAGAGTGAGTTGATGGGTTTTGTTGCTTTTTTTAATTCAGGAGATCCTGTCCCATTGGTTCAAAGGATATCACCATTTCATTAATTAAATTCTAAAACAAATGCTAAGATGTGAACTATGATGATGAAGTTTTAGCCTCATTTCCCATGGGTCGAGGTCTCATTGTTTTCTTGGTGAGATACAGCTCTCTTCGAAGTGGTGAATAAAATTAAGCGAGAACAGTTTTTTTAAAGATTTCATTGACGAAACCTCACTGATGAACAAATTTTACATTCATACAAACAAACACTACATACACGCACTCCAGTCTGTAGATAGGTACATACAAGCTTTGCTAAGTGTTTTCTGGTGATCGGTATATAGCGAACAATGTAGTAAGAAAGAAAAAACAACAAGATAAAAA